CCTCAGCGAGATTATACAAGCCATAGATTGTAGACAGACCACAATGTTTATTTTGTTATTTCAGGGGAAACAGACCTCTAGCCTAAATAGGTCCTACGACACCAAGAAAATCAGATTAAACAAGTCTATGAATAAGACTGTGGGGAACGTTCTTGAAATAGAGAAATCATATGGGAAGGTTCCAACCACTAAAGTTATCAGGTCAAGAAAAAACAAGTCTTTCACCAGTACTTCAGAGGTGGAAGGTTCTAGACAAAATAAAAAAATGGACAGGAGAAAAGAGGGAAAGAAGGACACTGACAATTCAGTAGGTGGGACAGATGTGGACAACAGTTCCAAGTGTTCTGATAGTGAAAACATGGATCCGGTAAAAAATATTGAAAAGACACTGCAGAATTCTAAAAGAAATCGTCTGAAGCAAAAATCTCAAAAGGACAAGTGCTATGATGACAGTGATTCAACGTCAAAGAGAGAGGAATCTCAAGGCAGCGATGTTTATACCATCAGTAGTGACGACGGAGAGACCAGAAAACCCCGAGTCAAACGTGGCTCGTCCAAACATCAAACAAAAAATACAAGAAAGACAGTAAGCTTGAAAGATTTTTCAACAGGGAAACAGAGTCGATCAAAATCGAGTAGTGATGAAAAGGAAAAAAACCCAAACCATAACAGTGTCCAGTGTAATAAAGAAAGACAGACAGAAAAAATGCAAGAGGTCAGTCAGGATAGTGAAGAAACAAATTTCCGAGTAACCAGATCAAGGGTTTCAGCAGGAGCTCCAAATTATTGCACTTCAATGCGTTCTCTTTCACATAAGAAAAACTCAAAGGTCACACGTTCCAGGTCACGATCACAAGATGCAGATCATAAAAGATCAAGGTCACAAACAAAGCTAAGCGAGCCGTCTCGTAAGTCATCAAAGGCAGAGCAGAAAGTCTGTAACCACTCTGATGGTGAGAGTGATATTGACAAACGTACAATACCTTTAAGGAAACCTAGGCTGACCAAAAGGAGAAACCCTACGACTGTTTTGGACTATTCATCTTCAGAGGAATATGTTCCACAAAATAAGAAAAATAGGATAAGGAAAAGGACCACTTCAAACTTCAACAAGTCTCGCGGTACAACAGAAGATTCAGACAGTGATGATTTCAGTCAAAGGACTGGAACTGTAGTTAAAAACAGAACAATGTCTCGCCTTCAGGACAGAAAGGAGAAAAATGGTAATGAAGCCGGCAATGTCTGGTCATCCTTAGAGGTCAAACGCCTGCAGCAGTAAGTAGACCGTAGTTTTACAGATATATAAACTGTTATTAGGTCATTTTGTCAGTATTAACAGGGCAGCTCAGTGTGAAGGTCCAACTCCAGTAAAAATCTATTTACATGGGATCCAGTAGCAGGCAGATTAATTGCTTTCTGATACTTAGGGGATATAAAATCTATTGTATTTTGAGATGTTGGATGTTAACTGACAGTTTTCAGTTCTATCAAGTTTAGTTTTACTGGCATCACAAAGTTATAATTATAATTTTCCTATTAGTATAACAGTTTTCATGTTTTAGCTGTGTGTTACGTATATATACATATACATGTGTTATGTAAGTGTTGCATATGTTATGTGTGTTACATGTGTTAGTTGTGTGTTACATGTGTTAGTTGTGT